CATATCTCTCTTAGCAATTGTAAAAACTGTCATTAGGCACGTTGTCATTGTGTTAGAGAGTGCTAGTTTTTCAGAGTTGCTGGATTTGCTGCTAGAGTTGACAGAGTGCTAGCTTTCTGTGAGTCGGTTCTGGATTCGATTCTCAGCCAATGGCAAAAATGAAGATGTAGCTTTCTAATACAAATCGTCTCAGTTGCAATAACTGTATGAAAAAAAGCTCTGACATGCCAAATACACTAGGTACAGCTGTGGGAATACTACTTGCTCACTGGATGTCTCCCCGTCGTGTATAATAAACAAAAACATAGCCCCGGTCTGGTCGGTCTGGAAAGACTGCTGGAGGGCAAACAATTAACCCGACACGAAAATGCCAAATATTACGTGTATCGTAAAAACGTATACCTGTTTTGCAATAACATATTAGAACGTGTTATAATAACGCATTAAGTATAATATTAGAAAAAAATGTAATGTAATATTGGAACATAAGTCTTCTTTTACTAGAATCCATATCAGCCACTTTTTACTACATTTTCTCATATTACAATGAAGAAGACATTTAATTTTTACAAAGCGAATAAAACCTTCTACAGCGTTCTGAAACATCTTATTACGATTATCAATATTAGATTATTCGTGTATCGTAAATTTCGATGGTTCATACTATCACATCTAGCGTGTTCATGTGCAATTGTGTTGAAATGAGGAAATTTGCTTCAAAATACAGGAGGCATCCCCGCGCACATCTGACAAAAGTCTTCGAGGCCGGCATGTGGGGGCTTAGCGCGATCACCACGCCTTTAGAGGAAGAATCTACCCGAAAATAAAATAGATGCACATTATTTTACAACACTTTGCCAAATGACATTAAATTATTAAATTCGATAGAAAAATTTAAGACCCAAATAAAATATTTTCTGTTGCATAACTTCTTCTATACAATTAAAGATTATTCCGAGCGTCAAAAGAGCAGTTAAATTAATTTTAACAATGATACTTAATGTATTATTTAACATTTGGGCTGTATAATTCTAAACAACCTGTAACAAGTATTGTACAGCAACTTTTGAGTCAATGACCCCATCTCCATTAGGTTTTTTGTACCATTTCCCTAATATTTGAGCTAATGCGGAGATGGCCCCTTGTTTTGCTTGTAAACATACATGTAACTTCATTATCTGTACACGTCTTCTAGAATCCAGTGGGAAATATAGTTAATCAAATTATGGTTCTTCTTGTTGTCGCGGCAGGAAGTATTATTACTTCTTGAAGGTCATGATGAGGGATAAGAGCTCAAATGTATAGCTGAATAACCATTGAAAATAAATTTTATTATATCGGAGCGAATATTTTGCTAACACTTCTTGCAAAAAAAAACGCTCAATAATACCCTATCTTATGTTCCTAAGCTCTATTATTTGAACCTAAAACACATCCTCAGTTCCAGTACTACATTAAATAAATTCTTCGATGTGTATACGGACATTTTTAAAGATAATTCTTGAAGGTAAGGAGTTCCCAAATAATTTTATAGGCAGACAATAAATACAATTTCTTCCTTTATTTTACGGGTCTCATCATAATTTGCAATAGTTTCGGCGAGTGGATGTTGCCATTATTAGGCTAACAATTTTTTAAACAATACCTATAATCCTTTATGCATTGTCAATCTATAAAATTATTTGGCCACTCTTCACCTTCGAGAATTGTCTTAGAAAGTTTTAAAAAGACGGACTAATTAAATTACAATTTAGAATACTATACCATACATCTCTACAACACAACAAAAATGAAGTTTATGCTTCTATAACAAATAATGTGAGTTTACTTCTTTTGATATCACAACGTTGCATGTCAAATACTTCCTTTCTGCTCGAAACACATTGGATCATTCACCTGTCCGTCACAATGCCAACAACTTTCTCTTGTTCTTATTCACACACTATCCTCTAACACTATCAAACATTACGAAATATGTAATCATGTAACGTATTGTGACCCACAACAGTATAAAATGTGACTGCCGAGTTACCTGGATTCATTCTAGTGTAGATTGGAACCCCTGGCCAGTTTGGTTGCCATCCTGCGAAGATTTACCTGGCTTCGGACCCTGACCTTTCGTGGTAGTGATCGTCTCTTGTCCGGTCAGCCCTTCTTACCAGTGGCTACACCCCACGTAGATTCGAGACGAACACGCTTTATTTCGGGTGGGTTTATTTCAGAATTGTTTGCTTAGGGTGGCTTACGTGGCTTAAAATGATACTAATAGGTCTCATTTGAGCACATTTGTTATCTGCAACAGCACGATGTCCGCAAAGTATGCGAAAGCTCATGGTTTGCGTGAACACGAAGTAGCTGTTGCCAGTTGTCGTGTCTGGATGCGCCATGAGATATTGTGTCTGGATAATAATGCAATTATTTACAAATAATACTGTGTTTTATCATACACAGCATCGCTTACATACAAATAATGTACAATATAACAAATATGATGATTTGTAACCAAATATCTATGATCGCCCACCAAAAAGGATCGGCTGAATCCGCCCCTGCGTGTGATGACTCTTCACAGCTGTGAAGTTCCTTTGATTCTTGTCTGCCCAGGATGAGCCGCGTCTCAATCGCTCGAGCCGACATTTCGGCCATCGTGTTGTGGCGTTCTTCAGGGCAAGATGACTCCGCATCGTGTTGCGGCAACACGATGGCCGAAACGTCGGTTTGATCGACTGAGACGCGGCTCGTTCCGGACAGTCAAGAATCATAAGAATTTCATGGCTGTGAGGAGTCCTCCATCACACGCGGGGGCGAATTCAGCCGATCCTTTTCCAATGACTCCGGCCGCGGAAGCCAACGAAACCATATTTGTGAAGTTTCTGTGCGTCAGTTTTCGCTCGTCAGGCCTCAGCCGCTCGGCTCTCGCTCATTCGGATTTCGTCAACCTTATAACCTTTCGTTAGGCTGCCGGCATTTATATTCAATTTATTTAGAATGGCAAACCCGCAAAGGTCAAGACGAAAAACGGGTATTTCAGGGAAGGCCGTCTCCAAAGAGAGTTCATCCAAACGTCATTATAGGGTTGAATGTTTGGGAACCCCTTCTCAACGGGGCTGGGGGCACAGCCACGTGGTTTCCCACGTATTAGCGTGTAAACGGGTGTGGCAACACTGCGTAACATGACTTTCAAGTCGTCATTATCATCATCATCATCATCATCATCATCATCATCATCATGGTCTAGACTTAAGAGTGTGTTCCAGTTCGATGATCTTGAGGTGCTATTAAAAATAAATCGAAGAATATGCACTGTCACTTTCCTCAAGGCTGTTCAATGTCATACCGTTGTTCATCACGCGTTTTCACACGCTGTTTCGAACTCTCGAGAATGTCTGTCTTGTGGAGCTTCTCTCGTCCCGCATACGACACTACTTGGGACATCCTTCTTACATGGACACCGCATCTCACTTCTCAAGAGCTTTTGTTTTCACGCGTCCCACTACCGGAAAGGGTGTCTCAGGGCATCAACTACAGAGCCTGTGGCCAGGAGGTCCTAGGTTCGAGTCCTGGCGGTGGAAGGACTTTCAGCACTAGCTAGATAACTAAGCCGAGTGCGGTCGCTGTTTAGAGGAGAATCCTAGCGGCCGGCTTCTCGGATCAACAGCAGGGGAATGCCGGAGCAGTACCCGCGATATTTCCTTCCCATATTCCCTTGTCTTATTACTTACTTAGTCTTACATGCCCTACACTATTAGACCGGGAGACCTGTCGGGAGCTTAGACCTTGTCCGGATGGGGCGGTGCCCCGATAGTGGGTAATAACTGGTTGAGAAAAACCCTGCTCGCTGACAGTAGGTTGGCGTGGGATCTCTCCATCCTTCGGGAGGACGATGCCAGAGGCCGCCACCGGCGAGAAAAGAACATGCACTAAACTTATGGGACTTATGGCCTAAGCAGATGACGAGTCCGGAAACCCATTAATGAGTCCTAGTCGCGCGAAATTTTAAAGCCCTCTCCTATGCATACAGTTCTCCAAAAATCTTACTGCTTTTGTTACCGTCCGACTTCTCCAAAAATCTTGACGCTTCTGTCTCTCCGCTGTTCACCTGCACTCATTTCCCCACCTTGTCTCGTTTTTTCGTATCGTCTGTCAAATTGGTTCGTGTGGCCTGTGTGATTTGTTGAACACGTGTGTGGTGAACCGCGGGAAGTGTTGGTGGGCTCCCGAGAATGCCTTGCGTGTGTGATTCCCCACGACTTGTGTGTTACCTTTGGTGTGATTCCTCGACGCATTTGACAGGTCTTCCACGGGGTTTCAATTTTACATTCAATGTTCTACACAGAACAATTCTTTCTCGCTGTTAGAGGCCGAGTATTGGTTTTATGTTTGCAAGATGGGAAATGCATGTCCAACCCTAAAAGTTGTGATACAAACCGTACTTCGGTTTAATCGTCACTATATTGCTTATAAAGTGTAACAATTTTCATTTATTTTTAGTTAAAAAGAACAGGGCCTATATTTCTGCTTCTACACAAAATTAATAAGGGGAACTAATAGGTTCAAGGGGGTTTGTAGATATTTGTTAATAATTAACCATTTGTTTAATATTGTGTAAACATTATCGATCATACTTTCTTTTACATGTAGCATTTTTGTAGATGTCGGTTTCCGATATTACATTGTAATTTGAATTGTGTTTTTGATTTGTTTTGTGCTTATTATTTTTTCTTCTTTATTATTGTATAGGTTAATTTGGATAAATAATTCGTAGCAAAAACGTATGTTTGAATAGTCGATATCAATAACTCCCGATCTCTGAATTATTTTAAATACTCTATTTTATTCTATTACCATTACGAAACGAGTTGATTTACAGATTAAGACCTGTTACAGATATGATAATTTTGTTGTTGAAATACGACAATAATCATAAATTGAAAATTAATGTGTCTGTATGGGTAAATATCAAAACAAGTTGAAAATATAAATGACTTGAAATTATACATGTTAAATTTTTTATTTATTTTAAAGAACATATTCTAAAAAGTTTGTACTTTCTAGCACAAATGGTTAACTTACTTAAATATCATTTACTAATGACGCCATAGTAGTGCCCGATGGTTCAAACTGAAAAACAGAGTGAGCATTTATGAAATAACAATCAAGATATATTGCATTTTTAAAGAAAAGACATTCATACCGAATTAGCTTATGGTAGTAAACAACAGTAATTTGCTTTTTGTCTCTCGTATAAACAAACTTAATTTACACTCTGGTGACAAAAATCATGGGATCCTTCCTAATATCGTGTCGGACCTTCTTTTCGTGACGAAATGCATCAAGTCGACGTGGCATGGACTCTACAAGTCGTTGGAAGTCCCCTGCCAAAATACTGAGTCATGCTGCCTGTATAGCCGTTCATAATTGCAAACGTGAAGCCGGTGCAGTATTTTGTGCACGAAATGACTACTTGATTAGGGCCCGTAAACGTTCGATGGGATACATCCTGGCCGATCTGGATGACTTAATCATTCGCTCGAATTGTCCAGGATAGTCTTCAAACCAATCCAACATTGTTGCCAGATGCATTGTCATCCATAAAAATTCCTTCGTTGTTTTGGAACATGAAGTCTATGAATGGCTGCAAATGATATCCAACTAGCTGAATATAGTCATATCCAGTCAATAATCACTTCAGTTGGACCTAACCACCAGCTTGCACAGTGCCTTGTTGATAACATATATTCATAGGTTTGGGGGATGGTTTTGTGGGGTTCACGCCACACGTGACCTTATCATTAGCTCTTACAACATAAATTGGGACTCATCTGACCAAGCCACAACTTTGCAGTCGTCTAGAGTTCAATCGAAATGGTCACGAGGTCAGGAGATGCGCTGCAGGCGATGATGTGCTGTTAGGAAAGGTACTCCAGTTAGTTGTCTGCTGCCATAGTCCATTTAAACCGAATTTCTCCGACCAGTGCTAACGGATACTCTCGTCATAAGTCTCACATTGATTTCTACGGTTATTTCACGCAGTGTTGCTTGTCTGCTAGCAACTAGAACAGTCTGCTCTCAGTCATTAAGAGAAGGCCGTCGGTAACTTGGTTGTCCGTGGTGAAAGGATGTACCTGACATTAAATATTCTTGGTTCACTCTTGACAATGTGCATCTCGGTATATTGTGTTCCCTAAAGATTTCCGAAATTAAGTGTCCCATGCGTATAACTCCATTACATATTCAGAGACTTTTACTTCCCGTCGTGCAGCAATAATAACGCCAGAAACCTTTTCATATGAATCACTTGAAAACTAATGAAAGATTGCCTATTCACTGCCCTTCAAAACTTTTGTATGCGATACTACTGCCATCTGTATATTTTCATATCACTATCCTATGACTTTTGTCACCTCAGTGTAAAATATAAGTTAATAGAATGTATGCAATTTCTTTATTAACCATCTTAGTGATCAGCCGTCTCCATGAGAAGGAAATAGAAATACAAGGCTCTTTCCGCATATTTGTACTTAAAATCGTTATAACATTTTATCGCAATTTAGATATGCATGAACAGTAATGTCATTAAGAATCAAAGACCGGTAGAGTTGGCTCCGGGCATCAACTGATAACACTGCAGGGCCGCTGACTGGGAAGTCGTAGGGTTCGAGGCCGGGGGTGGCAGTGCTACATAGCTAAGATGAAGTCAATCCCTGTCTGGAGGAGAATTCTAGCTTTCGGCTACTCGGTTCGGTATTTACCGCCTTTGCTCCGACAATAAAAATTTGTAGCTTTTACATCTAAATGTGCTTTGGATTTATAATACCAAATTACCTTACGAATAGCTTCTAAAACACAGTTGTAAAATACGTAGGCTTTATTACATAGATCAGGATCTGAAAATAAGAAATATTACAGCAAGTTAATAGTGCAAATATGCCAGCTTTACCTTTTTCAGAAAAAAAACTACCACTATGATTTTAAATATAATGTAATTATCTTACCATCGATGGCGATACATTTTTTTAATTCGTTCCAAAATTCTGGCTCATAGTTTTCGTTTTCGAACATCCCAATAACGACTGTATCGTTTAGGTGGCCATTTTCGTCCATCTGAAAAATGTGCAGAGAGATTTACTAAATTTGAATAAAGGGTTGCATGAAAAAAAACAACATAGTAATACTTCATTTCAAAAATATATTTTTGAAAACCAAAAATAATTAAATTGATTTCATTGCAATAGTTCACAATGCTAAAATACGAGTAAATGAAATGGCATCAATAAGATATTTATATTTTTATTTAATTATTTATATTTAAAGATCATTGAACGGATATTTGGTGAAATCAAATAATGATTTACTTACTATACGTTGATCTTCAAGTTCACATTTCATGAAACACTGTAAATAAAATAAAGTTGTTAGCTCATTCTTTTATTTGTCTAAAAAAATTATATCTCCTAAACATTACTATTTAAACTTCTCTAATCCTCTAAATGTGATGTTGTGTTTAACATTAAAGTCAAGTCCTGCAATGCCTCTGGCCGGGAGGTCCTAGTTTGTGGTCCCGACGGGTGGCAGACATTTTTACAGTAGCTTGTCGGCTAGGTCGAATTCAGTCGCTGTCAGGAGGAGAACTATAGTTGTCATCGGTTCTGATCGGTAGTTTTCCGTGGTTTATTCGATCAACACCAGGCGAATGCCGGAGCAGTAACCTAACAAAAGTTCCACGGACTATGCGCGATATTTGTTTCCTCTTCCTTGTACTATTCTCACCCCTTATTTACACAGACTTACACTAACAATCACTACAGTACCTCACATGCCGGGCGACCGGTCGGGAGCTTACAGCTAGTCCCGGCTGGGGCGGTGCCCCGCTGGTAGCAGATGCCTGTTAGAGCAAAACCTCGCTTGCCCACGGGCAAGTCTTGGCCTGATCGCACCATCTGGGGGGGGGGGGAGATCACCTCCACTTCCAGAGGGAAAAACATTCTCTATAACATGTGTCATATCATTGGATCTGACAACAACACCCGAAAACAAAACATACAATTTCACGGACTTTCCCGAAATACGACAAAATGGAGGGTGTGGAGCAACGCTGGCTTCCGATTCGGCGCGGCGTCATACACAGAGAAGCATCTGTCAACTCTTTGGGTCTGCCAACCTTTTTGTGTGTGCCGGGCGAAATCGATCAGTTATGTTTAAGTCATTTTTTGCCATAGCATCTGTATATAAATTATCGGGAAAGATGATAGTTGTAAGTTTCAAAGTTGATTTCTTTAAACTTTTCTTCAAACATTCTCCCAAACGTTTTATATTTTTTTCGTAGGAGCAATACTTAAGTTTTCTTGGTGAAAATAGATGTTAGTGTTGTTAGGGCACACTGGATGTTGCGGACTGGATGAGAAACACTACATCAAAAATTGTAATTTTATGTACCCGTTTATATTACGAGCAATCAGTGTTTCTACGTGTCTAGGATTATATATACTAGTTTTAATATGGACTGTATGGAAATGTTTACTCTAGTCTCTAAACCTATATCTTTAATAAAGTAAAAAATTAAGACTTATACACGTGTTATTTTTTGTGCACTGGCAGTAATATATTAAATAAAAAACATTTTTCAAGAAAAAGTAACTTGCAAAATAATTCACTAATAAAATAATGAATCTAAGAACAATGTTAACTCTTAGATAAATAATGTTTCAAATGACAACGTACCTTCACGTCGTTTGACGGATTTTCTATATTTTCTTCAACAACTGAAACTAAAAGTAAAATAATGTTTGTTTATTTTATAGTAAGAACTACACATTCACTATCATTATCCACAATATCATGTATACTTCCACAAATGAAGAAAATAAAAAATACTTATTGTTTTTTCTTATAACTAATATTGAGTTTTTAGAATTTATGCTACTTATGGAAAGTCCGCTTACTGTTAACTCCAGGGTATTGACTTTCGCAGTCATTATTGCTTATAGGATTTTCCTGAAACATAATTAAAATAAATTAGAAATCTTTGGTTCTACAGAATGCCACAGACTTCATCGTACTAGTTAGTTACGTGTTGTATTTAATTCAATTCAATTCAATTCAATTCAATTCAGTGATGCCTTATTTTGCGTGGTGAGACTCAGGCCATTTTCGTCTGACCACGCAAATTTCGCTTCGCTCCCTTCACCAACTAGCGGAGAAAGGATCACTCGGACGACGTAATAGGCGATTCACATTAAGTGGATACGACTAGCCGATTTTACGTCCCCTCTCAAAGAATGGTGGTTATACCTCCAAAGTCGTCGAAGTACCTTTTATTATTATTATTATTATTATTATTATTATTATTATTATTATTATTATTATTATTGTTGTTGTTGTTGTTATTACAACTATTTCCCTTTGAACAACATCCATAGTTTATTTGTAGATGAAAGGTTAAAAAATTTACAACTTTAGAAGAATCAGAGATTTTAACAATTATTTTAAAAGTATTTGTACCCTATTCAGGGGCGAAGTTATTTCAAAACATTTGGAGCCATTTAAAAAAAATGAGACTGTATTTGCGACTTCATGTAAAATATCCAAAAATAGACATATTCGTTTCAAACCCACAAATCCTTGAGTTCTTTTCGATGAATAGAAATTTTGGAGAACACCATTTGAATGGTCTAGCCGCTAGCGTCAACCACGGACGTTCTGACGAACGGACGGTCGCAAGGAGAGTCAGACTTTTGCCGTGAAATTATTATTTGCTGACAATGTCCCTGAAAACATGGATTCTGACTAAGTGTGTTAGAGGAAATAATTTACATGACATAGAACACTATTTATCCACTTTTTTGTTACCAGTGTCCGGGAATCAGTATTTTTGTAGAAAATTCCCGGTATTCCCGTAGCTTTACAATATTTTTTCTGTACTGCATAAGCAGTACCAGGAAAGTAATAATTAGATTTGTACAAAATGCCGTGGAATATTGATTTTTTTCTTCATAAAAATATTTTGATTTATAAAATTTCTCAACTCGGGTACAACTTTATATTTTTTCACGGATAGAAGAATGGTGAAGGTTTCATTTTTATTTAAATACAAATTTTCTAAAATTCAAAATATTAACATTGGAAAAGTACGGTACTAAAGATGAAGATATTTTTCTTAAACAGATATTATAAAATGACTCTAAAAACCAATTCTTTAAAAAAAGTTATGTATTTTTTTAAAACAAGCACTATCTGCGTAATTTCTACTTCAAGTTACTGCAATTAGGGAATATAATATTTTCTCGTAAACGACACTTTGTTTTTTCTCTCCATTTTCCCCGTGGATACACCAAAGGTCTCTTACTAGTGCAAGGTTAATTCTCATTTAATGTGTCTAATAACTAGAGGTTCTAGAACAGCACGTACTTTCTCGCGATATTGTTAATGGCTATGTAATATTGTAATATAAAAATTTCTGTCTTAAACTTCACATACCATTTGAAAAATTCTTTAATAAATAAAGCGTGAAAAATACATATTTAAAAAATATTTAAATGCTTAAACAAAAAATAGCTTTCTGCCATTAAATTCAATGTATTGACCTTCTAAATAAATCTACCAACGACGCCCAATACGTATTTTAGCCGTAAATAAAATTATTAGTTTATATTAACGCGAAAGAAAAGGTAGGAGCCAGTATCACTCTTTTATCAGTGCGGGGTTTTAATAATGGGTTACAAGCAACAATAACGTCTAATTCATAAGGTAAATACAATTTGAAAAATTAGTATTGTTGCTACCACTTGCAAGGAAATGAAAATGGATAGAAAATACAATAATTATATATAATATTTTATATTCATCAAAATTACTCTGTTTTGACACGCATAACGTTTTATTCCTATATCTTATTAAGCAAAGCAAAATCACGTTTTCGTTTTCACACTTAACTTAATTAAATAACGCAGATTAAAATAGGTTTTAAATAATTTGTAAAAAAAGTAATTTTAAAACTTGTAACAGGAGCTCAAAGAATAAACGAGCGAAGAAATTTGAAATAATATACAAATTCTTCCTTACGTATCATCCAACTGCTTCAAAAGCATCTAAAATTGGGTTCTCGAAGCGCATGAACTAACGAGTGGGCGTCTATTTTTGACACCAAATTACAAAAAACAACGCTCATATTTTTGTAAATTTGAACGTACTCTTTTTAGAAGGTCTCGTTTGTATTAACACATATCATTAAGAAAAAATGTATATTCATAATTTTAGTTGAAAAAAGACGCACGGAATTTTATACTTGTTCAATTTTTGAAAAATCAGGGTTGTCAACAAACGTAAGACTGACACCATTGTCTTAAACGTCCTTCGTACTATCCACCAACAAAATTTAATCAAAAACGTTTAAATAGTTTTTGATAAACAAATTGTGTAAACAAAAATGACAAATTATCCATATTTCATGTGATTTCCGAGAAAAATACTCAAATGTTTTAAAAATTTTACTACTACTTAATTTCAAAATCTATCCTTATGGAGCAGAAATTATTAAGGGAAAAATATTTCTTTAATATTTTTGTTGTTGGAACACGCCGAAATAAATTAGAAACAGAAAACTTCATTGAACTGCTATAGAAGAATCGTATATAAATGCAAATAAGTCTGCAAAGATAGCAGTGAATCAAAAGTCAAAATCAACATATTTAAAATTATTTGCTACATTTATCAAGACATTCGGATTAGGATTCTACTGAATGATATTCCCAATTCTTGCTTCGAATGGAAGATAATTACATGAAATGTAACATTTTCGAATTTTGATCTGCCATGTTAATTCGTAAAAAAGGCGAAATGAAATAATATCTTACCGTCGTCATCTGAGCCCAAGTGAGGGCTGCAGCGAGAGCGAGTTGAAGCACAAAAGCACTACGGATCTGCATCATGACGAACTGTGAGCTCGAGGTCGTACTGAATGACTGTCGAGTTTATATTCATTCACAGCTGTCAAATGTCTCTTTGGAGACTGATGGCAAAGGGAAGTAGGGGAAACCCCACGCCAGAGTTCACAAAAAAAAAATCGTTGCGAGGCTATTCGCATGTTTTGTTAAACGTTATGGTGTTGGAGGCGACCCTTTATCTCGCACCTTCGACCTCTGGTTGTACGATTATTCCATGATTCCGTGCGCGTCAATAGCTATGTCTATCATTACCGTAAGTGTAGTGCATGTTTTATCACGGAAGGTGGCGATGTTCCTCCAGCGCTGGAGGGTAAGGTCCGATACCGTCTTATTTCTCAGGTTGCGAGGCTTCCTTCGTCTAGGTATCACTCACCAGTAGGGCACTGCTCTGGCTGAGCCATGCTTTAAGCTCACGACTGGTAACCGGCCACGTGTGGTAGTGCATTAAGTAGTGTGGTAGTGTGTGTGACTAAAGAATGAGTATAGGGCAAGGAAAAGAAAGGAAAGATCGCACACGGTCCGTGTCCCATTTGCTAGGTTACTACTCCGGCATTCGCATGGTGTTGATCGGTGAAACCATGGAAAACTACCGATCAGAGCCGCCGACCGCTACGATTCTCCCCCTAACGGCGGGGACCGAATTTGACCTACCTAACCAGCTACGTAGTGTCGAAAATCTTGGACCGTCGGGACTCAAACTCTAGGTCCTCCCGGTCAGAGCACTCCAGTGACATTAGTGCTCTGGGTGACCTCAGACAGTCCACCTCTTGAATACCGGGATTAATATCCCCGTCGGTTTATCCTCGTGGAATTTATGATAGACAAATTGTGAAAGCTTTTGTTTTTGTCAGGGTTTGTTAGCTTTTGTCGGGGTTCTCCCGATTTCCTTGCCTCCGATTCCACCCGGGCATGCTCCATCATTATTAAAATCATATTAATCTTCACTCACAAGTAAATAATTCATATTCAATTGCATCATCTATTTATCATCCTTACCACTTGTACTTTCCGGCAGTATCTGCGATAAATGGGTTTGATGGATGGCTGATAGGAGATATGATTTGAATAATGATGGAGCACCGAATATTGGAGGAGGTGAAACGGGAAATACCCCACAAAACATATTGCAAGGTGTCTTATTCCATCGCGATTTTCAATAAATAAATTATAAATGGTATCATTTGTGAAGAAATATTGAAAAAAAACTATAGATGAGACCATAGGTACACTAATTACTTTGCTACTTAAGGAAGAAATAGTATTAAAAATATATTATCGTTTGTAGTAGTATCTTAAGTTCTGGGGAATTATCTGTCTAAGACATGAGATAGAAAATCAAAGAAATATTCAAAAACTATTTCTATACATTTTTTAAAAAAGTATCTCAATTATATCTTTAAAAAGGCCTGATAGTTTTAATTCAAAATAATTTATTTTTACAATTTAGATTTTCTTTCTCAAATACAATGAATGATGATTGGGAGACTCTTCAAAAGATATTAAATTATTGTTAGAGATTTTTTTAAATTCATAGCTCGCGTGTTAGGAGTTCGCTTAAAATCAATTGCTAAAAAAAATTCTGAACGGATGTTGTAAGGGGTAATATCAATCATGAGAAGAACCTAAGCGACCCTCATAAACCGACAGGACACGACACGGTTTTACGAATATATATATATATATATATATATATATATATATATATATATATAATGGTTGTGTGTGTGTAGTTCTGGATTAAAATAAATCACAAACGAAAATTAGTTTCATTGGGTCAAACGAACTAATGAGGTTAGAAAGGTGAAATAGAACTATAAATCAATTTATTTTGAATCAAATTCAGTATTTACATCAATTTTCTTCACTTGTGGACAAAGCGTTTATGTTCTTTGCCGTCTAGACTCTATTTCTGACCCACACGTCTCTTGTCGATAGCTCCAATCCTCCATGTACCTTTCTTCAGCGATTCTAACTGCTCTTGGGGGATACTCTGTAAATACAGAAAAATATAATGGAATGATATATGAAGATGTCATAAAAATTGCTTAGAATATCAAGTAACTAGTTTAATTTCACATACAGCTGCAGATTCTGAAACAGTGGTGACTGACAGGAGTACAATTGGGAAGCGCCGCGCCAGTAAAAATGTAATAAAATGTTCAAGATGTGCTAGGAAATTTTTTTGAGTCCTCCAGCCTTAAGAGGTTTTGGAGTTATGTAACTATGTAGATTTCAACATGACCTGAGTGTTAAGGGTTTCACTTGAATACATTTTAGATGTTTTTTAAGGAAATCCTTCACATTTGTAATGTTAAAGTGCAATTCGTCAAATCTCCGTGAAATTTATCTTTCTTCCATTTATTTATTTACGTCAGAAACAGTTAAAAAATATGTGAAGTGCTATGGAACGAAGTTAATTTGAAGTTACATATATGTCCAGAAGCAAAACGAGGGGCGGTCTCGGCATTTGCTGAAGGATCAGGACAACTGGATTAAAACCTGATCGAGGTGGTATTGCTTTAGGGCACGTCTTTATAAAGGCTGGTTGCGTGTGAGAGATCCAAAGCTCTTCATCACTACTAAAATAACACAGTAGCGGATATTCTTTAACTACATTTCTATTTATTCTGAGGTCCACTATTACACCCCTCTTTTTATATTCTGAGAGTACTACCGAGATAACATTAGTAAGCGGCCATTCAGAAAACTGCACCGTACCATCTTTTTTATGCGGAACTAATATGTATTTGGTCCTATTTATATCGTATCTTGTGTATTTGTCTTTGTACTATTTCTTTTGGGTTATATTTACTTTTTTGCATTTTATGTTACTTGTTAGTTTTGTTTAACTTAACTGCTCAGTGACAAGATCATCCGCAAACGTTAAAAGAAAGTAAAATAATTATTTGATTTAAAAATGTAAAATCAAAATAATTTAATTATAATTAGTATTAACAAAAACCTATTGATTACTGTATTACCAGTTCAATCGGATTTGTAACGAATCTTGTTTATGATTGAGTTGTGAATGTATACAGCATTTTGTATCAGGATAACCCTGTCATCAAATAACTAATACAATTTAATTGAAATTTTATAAGGGACTGCTGTTCAAATCAGGCCAGTTTTTGATGCCAAGTTGAGTAACATTATTGGTGCTCACCTGACACATTGCCTGAAATTCACAATGCCACAGAAAATGTGCTCTCATACACAGATCCTCGTAGTCATTGGGAACTCTGGTGGTGTTGTTACTCGCTTCTACACTGAATTCACCCTCAGCTGCAAAGGAGAACAGATAAATTACTTTTCTCTGTTAAACTTGTCCTAAATGACCCTTAATTAAACATATTTTGTGTGGAAATATGTTGTAGCTAATTTGAATGTTTACAATTACTATAGGCACAAACAGAACAGATATAGTGGTGCAAGCAACGTGGAAGAGTGTATTAAGTATTGTTTAGGTTTTCTTTTTTCGATCAGACTGCGTTGAAGCCTCAGACAAAATTTCCTCAAATTTCTCTCATTTAATTATCTTAATTTTCATAAATTGCAATTTTAAAAAATATTTTGGTATGTTTCCATAACTACAATATTGAAAATTTGTGAAGAAATCTGATTATGAAAATCAGATCTTAAAATAGGTTTTTTTAACAACGAGAGTAATTTTCATGTAACTTTAATTAAAATCGTGATCATTAATAAAAACGTAATTACGAAATTAAAATTTTCTCAAATCTACAAAATTGTTTTCACTTCATTTGTTCTACAAATTGACCGATTTCATTAAAAAATTTAATTTTCAAAATTTGCAATTCCGTTACTTTCTTTTAAAGCTTCGGAAGGGTTGTTATGCTGACTTAAGTTGTTGATGCAGTGATTAAGTGAATTACTTACTAAACCTAAGTGCATGAGTTCGAGTACCAGCATTGATAAACATTTTTGTGTATTTACAGGCTGTTACGTGCAAAGTCAATTAATTAATCTGAAATGTAAATTTAGTGGATTTCAGCTTGAATCTTAATTATAATTTATTAAAAAATTTTTTAAAACAATCTTATTTTGACCCCTGGAATTCCAGATTGTGTTACTTTCCTCTGTGTTCACTGTTGTTAAGCAATGTACTTATAAATCACAAATATGCATTTTGAAATTGTAATGGTGAAATAGTGATTTTAGGTTCTATAAATGAGATCACTAATATCGTCAAATCATCAAAATGTGTTTCTAATTAATTTCGAGTTTCTAAATTGTCTAAGTAAAAGAGGCATTTTTATCAAAATCATAAGTTATTCATTTCCATACTTCATTGTTTAGCATCTGCGATATTTAGTTCAAATGCAATTTGAGGAACTTTACTTAGCCGATTCAATTGTGAAGTCTGTTGTATTAGGTACATAGAAAAAAAAACGTTGGAGTATACAAGATCTAGGATACTGTTACAATTTTCCTTGTTACAGTATCATGCTTCTGGTATACTCCAACGATTCTTTTTTTGTTAGTGATCATCTGCAATTTTACTTTTCTCTCTGCCAAGGAAAGAAAGTAGCTAAGAGTTAAAAAGGGATATCTGAAAATATCAAAGTGCGAGAAAGGGTAAGAGCTTTATATAACTCCATGCAGCAATAATTTGAACGTTACACCTACTTGCATCTACGCAGCACATTTCACTTCCTTCTCTCCAGCTTGTCTCATTTATATCAAGTTTATATTTCCGCATTGCTTTTATATCAATGTCTAAAACTCTTGCCGAAGCTTTGCAATCAATCTTCTTATCAACAATCTGTGTTCATGCACAAGATATATAAGTATTTCATCTTCACTTAATGTTTAAAAAATATTCAAAATAAAATATAAACGATTAGTGCAATTAAATGTTAAGGGTATGTTATTAATACAACACTTCAATATATACTTCAATCATTATCAGTATCAAGATATTACTTTCAAAGACAATATATCCCAATTTCCAGTTTAAATGTTTCTAGAAGATTATACAATAATAACCTAATT